AATCTCACCAATTAATCTCACTAGTTGTCCTTGTACCAGGTACTCATACAATGCTGGGTATAAGAGTAAGCCTTAATAAATATTTTATGATTGGATGGGTCCATGAGTGAGTGAGTGAGTGAGTGAGTGATAAACAAACAAATAAATGAATTTAGAGCCTTCCCTTTGAGGACTCCCTTCCAAGCCAATAACTTTCATTTTCTTATTCACACTAATGGCAAATTTTCATGGTTTGGGGGTGAATTTCATTAGTGGAAACAGTCAAAAATCACTTAAAACAAGCTTGATGAATAAAAGACACAATTTAGTGGGATAAGGGCACTTAGGGAAACACAAAGCATGATGCAAATATTACAAATCTGACTTTCTATATCTCGGGTCTGAAGGGAATTCCAGAAATGATTTGAGCATCAACAACAAATCCAGGTTAAGCATATCAAATCCAGAGTGACTGCTTTGAAAGGCTGCGCTCAATATAAAAAAGCTGGTATGCTCATTTTCATGCTACTTTTCTCTAATTGGGCTTACATATTTATGGTCAATGTTTATATAATATATTAAAATGTAAATGGGAGGGTGGAATCCTGCAGCTTCACGCTAATCTTAAATCCATAAAACTTCATTTTCCTACTTACAAAATGAAGGATCAAATTAGATGATCTGTTTAAACTTTTTCAGTGGTAACATTCAATAATTCTATAAATAAATAGTTTAAACTTTTTTCACACATCTTCAACCACTCTTACTAACATTTCAGAGGTTTCATATTAGGGAACTGTTCCTTTAAACAGCCACAAGGTTTCAAGGGAAATCATGCTGTAGACCATGAGGTACAAAGCTGCTAGAGCAAGGTAAATGGGACACACACTCATCACACACACACACACACACACACACACACACACACACACACACCTCTGTCCCATTAGCAGTAAACTGGCCCCAAGCTGGGACATTTATACACATCATTATAATAGTTTACATTCATGTGAAATCAGTTATATAAATTATACAGAGCAAAGCTGCTCTTTAAATGATTTGTCAACTTTTTACTAAGTAGTTACAACTTCAAAAGTAGAGGAAGTGCTTTCAAATGGAAGTATGACAGCGGGCTTGAAAAGGTCCTGCTTCCGATTATGTCCAAAGTATCTTATTCTGTAGATTCCAGGCTGGGCAGTCTCTGGAATATGCCATTCTATCGTTGCATTGCTACGACCCAGTAATCCCTTGTGCCAATAGAAACTGTTGGTAGGAAACAAACAAATAGACCCAATTTTACTCTTAAAAATGTGTGATTAGAAAAATGAATATTCAGGGAGCACCTACCATGAGCAAGGTACTAGTTTAGATATTGAAAGGATAGCAATAAACAAAACAGAGATAAATACTTTCTAGAAGAGAACATTTAATGAACAGCCATTTTGTAGAAATACCTTTACTCG